AGTCATTTGAAGTGCCAGTTATAATATTTTCATGTTCTGCTTCATTATTGTCATCATTTAGCTCCCCATTATAGAAAAGAAGAACAGAATATTCAAATTAGAATTTACCTCGTGGACTTAAGAATCTCATCTTATGTGCAAAGTGACCCAATTGCTAGAAATTGATTTGTTGGAGCTATTGTGCAGTGTAACAAAAAGCTTTTTCTGTGCTTCTGTTGAATCGTCTCTGTATGAGAAGGCTTAGCTTGGAAAAAATGATAACTGGTGGTCCAGTTATAACAAAACATTTTTCTGTGCATTTCACTCTACATTTATTTTTTTTCAGTAGAAAAAAAAAATACTGTTTTGAAAGTAAAATGCATCTCTTGTATCACAGCTGTCATGAATTTAAGTTCCCTCTTGGATCCTTAGCACAGTCTATTTCACGGCAATATTTTGCTTCTTTGATAAGCACCAAGCACTGAAGAACAAGATGTTGAATATTTTAGATGTAAATCTGACAGGAGGCAATTGTTTTTAGTCTTAGGATAGAGCCAGAAATAATTGCAGAAGGGTGAACCCCTCAGATAGCATAACAACCATTATGGGTGTTTGCTTAGAGCCAGAATGAAGCTCAAGATGTTTTTGAGCTTAGAAAATGGCCACTTGTATACATGCATCTTTACATGACTGCTAGCTTGTGGTTCCAGCTATGAAAATCATCCGGAAAAACTGTAAGAAGATTATTTTCTGTAAATCCCCTGACAGAAGCCAAGAGGCCTTGGAAACATACAAAAGCAGCTGTTTACATGAGCTTTCCACCTATAACCCAGGTAGATAAATCATTAAAATCGAGGTAAATACTGGGACATTTTGGTATCCATCCATTTCTTACACTCTCTCAATTAAAGTATTTTGCTATTTCTTTGCCTGCTTTAGCCTTTTTTGCTTCCAGGCTTCCCTTCAGATCTCAGATCAGTGCTTTCACCAAGACCAGCCTTAATTTGAAGCTAAGCAGACCTTGCTACCTTGCTGATAACATGCAGCTGTGGGCATTCTCTCTCTTCTTCAGTGTTCTCCGTCTCTCCCTTTGATCGCCATAATGATGCAATGAGCTTCAGGAAAAGGTGAAAGTAAGAGGATAACAAGTAAGGGGAGACATGAGCAGAGGGAAGGTAAGAAAATAATGGATGCCTGAATTTCCCCCCCTCTTTCATTTTCATGTGAACAGTATTTCTTTTCTACAAGAGTTTCTCAGACATTCTGAAGAGCTGCTATGTTACAACTCATTAAATTAAGTCTCTATATTTGCTGCTTAAGAAGATGTTATCTTTGGCACTCTTGGAAACTAATGTTTGGTTGTTGTGGCTTTGCCACTGGCACAGAAGCATTTCCTGCATGAATGCAAATTGCTGAAGCTCCCGATTTCCTGGCTGGATGTGGCTCAATTCTGTGTGTTAAACTGATGGAATTAATGTTTAGCCCACCAGATGGGCTTGCTTGTGGCTGATGGCTGTCTCTGCAGAAAAGAAGGTCTAGTTGGAGAGGGCAGAAGGACTTGGAGCTCTGACCTGAGATGCCCCACTGAAAATCATGGCTCAGATGCATGGATCTGGATGCCCAACATGTGCCTCAGCCTCACCACCCTTTCAAATTTATCTGGGGTTATATCTTGCCCCCTTATGCAGCTTGGAACTGTGGCCTGGCCCTCACCCCATACCCACAGCACAGCCTCTTGCCTGGAGGAGAGCATGGGTGAGAGGCCCTAGCTTGTGGGGTGAAGCAGGCAGCATGCCAATCAGGTGCTGCCTAAAATAGCTGGTAGGAAATGCTGAAGAAAGGGGGGTGGATCTAGCATTTAACATATTCATCAGCTGAGCCCTTGAGCTAGATCAGCCCTTCCTTGGAGAAAATGGTGGTGTTTCTCTCCATGTGGAACACTCTTTTGAGAAATGAATTCATTCTTTCAAATCCTCCCAGCATCATGGATTTCACTCTTCATAGAATCATAGAATCACTGGAGTCAGAAGCAACTCCCAAAGGTCATCTAGTTCAACTCCCCTACAGTTAGATCACGGTGCTTAGAGATTCTCCAAGAATGGAGCATCCACCACCTCTCTGGGCAGCCTATTCTAGTGTCTCTCCACACTTAGTGGAAAAAATATATTCCTTAAATCTAATCTAAGTTTCCTCTCTTTCAGTTTGGAACAATTTCCTCTTGTCCTATCATAACAGATCCTGCAAAACAGTTTGTCCCTTTCTTTCTTAATGCTCTACTTTGGATACTGAAAGGCTGTTCCAGGTCTCCCTGGAGCCTTTTCTTTATCAGGCTGAACAGCCCCAGCTCTCTCAGCTTCCTCACAGGGAGGAGTTCCATCCTTTGGATCACATTTGTGGCCCTCCTCTGGATGCATTCTAAAAGGTCCACATTTTTCCTGTACAGAGGGCTCCATATTTGGATGCAGTACTCCAGATGAGGTCTCACTAGTGCAGAGTAGAGGGGCAAGATCACTTCCCTCAACCTGCTGACCATACTTCTTTTGGTGCAGTCCAGGATACAGTAGGCTTTCTGAGCTGCAAGGGCACATTACTGGCTTGTGTCCATCTTGCCATGCGCCAGTATCCTCAAGTCCTTTTCAGCAGGGTTATGCTCCATCCTTACATCCCTCAGCATGAATTGATAGCAGGGATTGCCACAACCCAGGTGCAAGACCTTGTACTTGGTTTTGTTGAACCTCATGAGGTTTTCCTGGGCCCACTTCTTGAGCCTGTCTAGGTTCCCCTGGATGGAATCCCATCCCTTGGATGTGTTGACCACACCACACAGCTTGGTGTTACCCACAAATGTGCTCAAGGTGTGCTTAATCCCACTATCAATGTCATCAGTGAAGATATTAATGTCACAGTACTGACTCTTGAGGGACACCATTCATCACTGATCTCCATCCAGACATTTAGCCATTGACCACCACTTTCTGGGTACAACGTCACAACCTGCTACTCATCAGATCCACATCTTTCCAATTTGGAGAGAAAAATGTTGTGGGGGACCATGTCAAAGGCCTTTTGACACCAGTGTCTCTTCCCTTATCCACTGATGCACTTATACCATCATAGAAGGCCACGGGGTTGGTCAGGTAGGACCTGTCCTTGGTGAAGCCATGCTGGTTATTCCATATCATCTCCCTCTCTTCCATGTGCCTTAGCATAGATTTCAGGAGGATCTGCTCCATGACCTTCCCCAGCACAGAGGTGAGGCTAACAGGTTGGCAGTTCCCTAAGTCATCCTTTCCATCCTTCTTAAAAATGGGTGTGATGTTGCCTTTTTTCCAGTCACCAGGGATTTCACCTGATCACCATGACTTTTCAAATATCATTGAGAGTTGGTGGCAACTACATCAGCCAGTTCCTTCAAGACTCTGGAATGCATCTCATTGGGACCCATGGATACTCTTGGTACTCTTTTCTGACTTCAGCACTCCTAAGCATGAGATTTCTTCAGGATCTCTCACTGAAACTGCGCTATCTTACCCTGGACCTCATACATGTATAGACCAGGCATAGACCCTCCCATGTCCCTAGTAGATCCCTTGAGAACAATGGGAAAAATGACAGAGATGCAAATAATGATTTCAGGGCCATGTAACTCAGGAAGCTGTACTTGCTGATGGCCAGGCACTGTTCTGGAAATTAGGTTTGCACTTGTCCAAGGCCCTAGCCCTGTGTGGGCAAAGGGGTGACTGTGTAAAAGAGACTTCTCACCACTTCATGAGAGTTTTGACCTTCTGAGGACATATTTACTGGTTTGGTCTCTGCCAAAACAATTGTGACAGAATATTAGCTTGCGAAACTGGCCAGAACTGTGAGATCAAGCAAGTTTTGAGGCTCTGTCTTTGGGATGCAGGTGATACATGTGAGCCCTGCTTGGGCTCCTAGGCTCCAGCTTTGCAAAAGTACCTAAGTGTTGCAGCATGGTTATATGATCCTTCTGTTGAAGGCAAAAAATCCATGCCTTGTTTTTTGCCTCCTTCCAGGGGCCGGAAGTACATTTCCTGGCATCCCACTTTTTCTGTATAATGCTTTGAGATATTTTGTGTATGGAGTCTTTATATCCCACGTGCTGAACTATATCAAATATATACAAGTTTTCATAAGTAATGGAGTTGACAGCATAGTCTTAAGCTGAAGTTCTTTTGAGAATGGTTATTAGAAAAGCTACCTTTGCCTAACTTAAAGCTATTGGCAGTCAATAGAAAGTTTGTTGCTTCTGTTTGTGGCTGGTAGTAAATTGCACAATTGAAGATGTGCTCAGAAGAGCAAATGAGCAGTTGGACACAGACATGCACACCTCCTTATCTGTTGTAAGCAGTTTGTTGTTCTGTGTAACCAGGAATATGAATTTCTTTATCTGAGTGCCTGTGCATGCTTCTGTCTACATGATGTGTGACTGTAGTCAAAGACTGAAATGATCCAGCGTGTTTGGAGAATCTGCTAAGAATGGAGTACTCAAGACAACCCCCCAAAATCTGTGGCTCTGCTGTGAACCACAAAGACCTGAGCAGTCAGACAAAAATAGGAAGTCTTGCCCTATTTGCAATGTAGAAGGGAGGAAAGGAGACAAAAATGTTACCGAATATAGGAAACATTTTTAGGCTTTATGGGCTGCATCTTATTGCAGTATGTGAACATTCAGTCTGCACAGGGCAGGAATCTTCTCTGCAGTTTCTAATTGTATGTGTTGTTAATTACAACAAGAAAAATGAGACTTACGCAATACTTGTTATGGCTGTTGTTCTTGTTCCTGGTTTTCTCGCTTGCAAGGAATAGGAAACAACAACAAAAAAGACTGGTGCTATTTATATACTGCTCAGGCTGCTAGCTATAAACTCATTTAGCTATTTCCTTTCATGCCAATTCTATAAGATTTAAAGATGGTTTGGGCAGCATGACTATCTCATCACCATGGGTACTAAAGTGGGACCTCTGGAATGGTTTCTGCTCTCCAAGGTCAAGGTATTCACCCTAACCCACCTCTGTGCTGGGGAGCGCTCAGGTGAGGAGTGGCTTCCAATATGCTTGTGTCCTCACAGAAGAAGAGCCGATGCATTCGAACTGTATTGCATGCTGCTGTTGTCCTTGGATAGCATTTCAGGGAATAAATATGTGCAAAAGTATCAGGCAAGCAAATTATGGAATTGATTCTGATGCCCTTACTTTCATAACGTAGCACAAGAAGACTCAGAGTGGAATTCTATGAAACAAGGTGCTTTTTAGTGTGTGCCAAGATTGCAGATCTTTCTATGCAGCTTATATTTATCTTCTCTGAGGGTACACTTACAGGATCAACATCTGGTCCTCAGGGAAATCCATCTGCTAAAAGAACATGTGTCACTCTGTAGTAATGCAATTGTAAATTTATAATGAAGGGGTAAACAAACCCAAATGGAGTAATTTAGAAATTTTCTATTCCGATTTTAGCTGTTTTATTGTTTATTCCAATTTTAGCTTTGCCTTAAATTCAGTTCACATTTTTCAGCTAGGAGTCAGTTAGGATTGGAAACAATGCAGAGTATTTTCCTTAAATTTTTATGACACCACATTTCATACTTCAGTATTTTGAAGTCTCCCCTCACCCAAGTATTTTGGCACATATCTCTGTATCTTAAAAGAGACCTTCAGTAACAATTTGAGGTTTCAAAGAATCAGCCATTCCATGATTAAAATCTCATTCTCGACTAATTTTATTTTAAACATGTAATAAAAAATGCAGTAACCAAAAGCCCAGAAGGTTTCAAGTAAGTACTAACACTTGATGTTGAGCACCATCAGTCCTTTTGTCTGCTGCAATTCCTGTGCAATGTGTCTAACTAATTACAAGGATACAGAATTTAGGTGGTATCTCTCTGTGGTTAATGCAGAAGTCTAGCTATTCTGTAATTATTATAATATACAATAATGAAACAGTAATTTCATTCCTTCTACGTAATGCACTCTACCAGCTTTAATTAAACCTAGCAACCTCATTAGTGGATATCATTATATCAGCTTCAGGGAAGCAATACTATCTAGTGAATAAAAGATTATTGCATGATTTTGGAGATCTGGAATATCAGATCCATCCCGAGGCTGCTATTAGACTCTGGGCAATTCACTTCAAGTCTCTGGGCCCTTTTTTTACTCACTGACCTAGTGAAGTCTATGGTGTTTAGACTAAAATGCTCTGAATTATGTGGGTTCCAAATATCTGTATGAGCACTGCATTTTTGCAAATGAACTAATGAAGACACAGAGAAGTGCTGCCTGAAACCACAAAATGAGATATTGTTGGTTCCCGGATGTCCCCAGATATTCTGAATTTCAGTAAAAATACATTACCCGTGGATTAAAACTATATTTGTTCTGCACCATCTTCCTTACCTGATGCTGGCTGGGAACAGCCTGCAATGTTTCACACAGACACCCAGAGCGCTTCTAGTGGAAGAGGTAGACTATGCCCCATCACTTCATGTGGGTTTGTGAAAGGGATTAGGTCGAGCTTTGTCTCCTCTGGCCATTTAATTGATTTTGAGAGCCTTACCCAGGCTACAGCAGAGGGCTCTACCTGGGTGACTGGGTGCATGTGTCAGCAATCTGGTTTTCAGAGATGCTGAAAACCAGACAGGTTCAACCTGAAGATGTTGGTAGGGCTTCAGAGCTGGAATAGGTGCTGCTTCCCTGACATGATCAGCTTCTACGTTGTCCCCTAAGAAAAGAGGTGTATTTTCTAAAAGGGAAGGCAAACAGAGCAGGAGGGAGTCACATCAGCCTGTCAAGCAAAGTGCCATGGGCAGCATTGAGTCTTGGCAGGTGAGAGGGCTGGGAGGAAGACAGCAGCAGGTGGACACAGCAGCAGGGGTTGTTAGTGCTTTTGCTACAGGAATTCACTTTTTCCTCCACTGTCACCTATTTGGTGTTGTTACCAGCAGCATGTTTTAACAAAACTGACTTTTCTTTCCTCCCTGTGCACCACTGAGGTTACAGCTGGAGAGCCCCCACTTTGCTGTGCTCTTTCTGAGGCAGAAGATGCTTCAAATCTGTGTCTGTGGGGCTGAGTGTGAGATCTGACCAAGTAGGCTGTGGAGATGAGGAAGTAGGACAGTGTTCCTGAAGGCTCAATGGGTGACTGAAGTGCAGTGTATTCTAGGACTCTTACACATCTTTCTCTGTTTGGCAGCTTTAAAGTGAGAACAATCAGCTGGGGATCATTGCTTTACTTGGTGCATGCAAAGAGGAGGCTGCCTGGTTGGCTGTTGCAGCACAAGTCATGCACTAACTACTGACTGGTTGTGATGAGTGCAGCATGAAATGTGGATTTGTCAGAAATGCACAGCCAGTTTATTTCATGCTCACTATATGTGAACTTTTTTGTGGACAAATTAGCATATTTGTGCATCAGTATATTTAAGATGTTATATTTTTTACTTTCTCCTCTCATTTACAATATATTAAGTCTCAAATACCCACTGATATTGAAGTTACACTAACAATATGAAGCTGCAGGTGAATTTAAGGCATCTCATGTGGTTTCCATACTCAGTGGAAAAGTATGGATGATTGCAGGTTGCAACATGAAGTTGCAATCTTTTCAGCTTTGCCCTCTAGTGATTGGAAGTGATTCATTCATCACACTGGCTCAATCTCTGTGTTCTTCTGAAGGAACAGCATGCCAAAACAGACTGTCATGTGAATATCTCTGTATTTTCCAAAGCTGACTCTCACATTTTTCCAGTAAATCAGAAACCCAAGCAAGTTTTTTCCAGTTCTGACTTTGATACCCACACTACTTATCTGTTCTCCCAACTGAACATAGGAAACGTAGCTAGAAACATCACTGTTGCTATTATTAGATGCTGTTAATACATACGTTTTGCAGAAAACAGTGGTGATCAGTCAGGGCTTACCAAGTATACTGATTAGAGACACTAGGAAATCCCAGTTCCCAGCCCTTAATCTTACCTCTTGTTGGACTTCATACAAATATGTTTTCATCACAAGATATACAACTAGCACACCAGCTAGTTCAATGAGCTCAAGTTCTGTGGCGCATGGCAGCCTATGGCACAGTGCTCTGGGTGCAGGAAGCAACATTTTCACAGTGCAGACAAAGGCTAAGCTTCCTTCTGTCCCCACTACATCCATAGACTTGAACTGGCAACACATAAGCACATATCTGAAAACATGATCTCTGGCAAGTATCAACATGCTAACAGGAAATCTTGGGGAGCTAATTCAGGGAAAACCACAAGAATTCATGGATCACCTAATATGTACTTGCATCTGCCATGTAGATACGGCAGTGTATCTCTGTGCAACACTGCTCTCTGCTTCCTGGAACAAATCATGAGTTCATTGCTACCACATCCACTAGAAGTATCTGCTAGCATTTGTGGGGATCAGCTTTGCACTGAAGGGCTTTTAAGATCCTTCTTGAAACTAAGTATTCATTACCTGACATACATGTGTTTGAGTAGTGTTTATGAAAAGCAGCTCAACTCAGGAAACAGGCAAGTGAGATCTGAGGCATTAAATATCCAAATTCACTGTGAAAATTAGTGGAAGAGTGCAAGAGCAAGGCAAATCAAGGCCACTCTCATCACAGAGCTGAAAAAGATGCTCCCATCCCTCTAGAGAAGTAGATGGCATCTGCAATATGAACATCAGCAGCACTACTGCCACCACTGTGCACATGTCCTTGCACCAACAGCCCCAGGTTCGAAGAAGGGAAACAATGGGAACAGAGAATGAACTAAGGAATATAGAAAAAAGGTGGAACTTAAGAAAAACTAGGATAAAAATCTCTAAGAATCAGGGAAGTCTTCTCTTGTACCTCTGTGCAGAACGCAATCTGTGTGTGCAGCTGTTAATTTTACCATATATTCCACTTTAAAGTAATGGAATGAATTGAATTAGCTTGTGAGATAGCAAGCTGATTTGTCTGATGGTTTCTATACAACACTTAAATCCAGATGGTTTTTCGTGGTAATGATTTCACTTCTGTTGCATGTATATGTACAAGATGCTCAGGTACATTATATATAATTAAAGATGAACTCCATTACTTATCTACTGAGAAGATAAACTTTGCTTGTCCCTGACACACGTGGTTGATCCTCATGCCTCATACATCCAGGTGCCTCATATATCAATAAAACTCTAGCAAATGGAAATATATTCACAGACTGTCCAATCTGAGGAATGTCATGATCAGGTCATTAGCAAATTATAAAAAAGTCATTTTCATTTAATGGATCCTGGATCTGGAGATAGTATGTAGGTGCTGAGACAGCGTTCCAGCCTCCAGAATGTCCCAAACCTTTGGAAACATTAGTGAAATAATGCTCACAGCACATCTGAATTACTAATTCTTTCTTGAGGAAAAAAAAAGAAAATAAAAATAAAAAAATAGGCACAGAAAGAGGAATCTTGAGCAAGAGCATGTATAGAAAAACTGGGTATCAAAATTCACTTATGAAGACCCTGCTGCTTACCCTTAACTCTGAGATTATCCTTCCATGATTCAGGAACAGTTTCATCATAGATATGCAGGGGATGAGAGAGAAATAGCTCAATACCAAGATTCCAGCTGTGACCACAGCCTGAGCTGGCCGCAGTTCCTTGTGCCAGAGGTCATGAGTTTGACAGGTTCCTGCTGTACAAATCCCACTGCAATACAGAAGCAAAAACCAGATGATTTCTATCAACTTCTTATAAATATAAACAAAAGACAATGAGAAACATCAGGGAGTCACATTTCGCTGGAGGATAGAGACAGTGGGGGGCATAATTAGCATTGGAATCACATCTGCATCAAATTGAAAATTAGTAAAAATAAAGGAAACTCTTCACTTTGCAACTTTGCAGATGAAAAGCAGCAATTCTTCCATGCATAGCATATTTTTTGTTAAAATTGCTGTCTTACTACTTACAGGATTTAAATAAAAGATCCATAAAAATAGAAAATCCATTTATCCACCCATCTGAGGGGCATGTTCCCCACATATATGTGCTATTCATGCTTTTAAGATGGAAGGATGGATAGATACTTAATTGTTGCTAGATGATTTTCTCCAGCAGCAGTCAAATCAGCTTTTTGCTCCTTCCTATTAGATTATCGTCATTTTAATAAAGCTGACTCAGGTACAAGTCACACCTCAGAGAGAGAAGACAGAAAACCAGAATTTGCAGACCTGCTGTTTGTCTTCTGCCCTTTGCTACACAGACATTAAACAGTGCTTGGATGTCTGCATCAATTCAGTTTAGTGTGGAGATGCCCTCCTGCATGGAGCATCACCCTGGAATACAGAGGACTGAGTCTCTTTTGCCTCTTCCACTGTCTTGGCAGTCTTGGCACTTGGAGAAAATCTCACCTCAGTCCTTGGAGCCTGATTTCTTTTAACTGTAAAATGAGATAAATGATGCCAAATTCCCTTGTAAAATTATGGGTAAAAAGCATTACTGTCCTCCAAGGTGACAAGTGGTAGAAGGAAGCTCAAAAGGGAGTTCAGCCCACGGAGATCCTTAGGTCTCCTTTGACAAAAGTATCTGTGGAACTGGATGTCCAAAGCAGAGTGCCTGCTTAGCAGTATCCATCTTAGACACAAGACTATCTGAACTGTCTGCCCCTGTCCCTGAGTGGCTTTCCCTGGGTAGCTGGCTGGAAAATATGTCTCAATATTTAGCAACCCAAAAGCCATCTGCCAGCAAGGACACAAGGCTCAGGGATGTCCCTAGATACCTTCCATGTCCACCCTGGCTGCCTGTGTCAGGGAGTGCATTTCTTTCCTTGCTCCATCAGTGATGAGGAGCACAAAGCACTCCCCTAAGCCAAGGAACTGAGCTAAGCAGCTCTGGGTTCTGATACATAATTTAAAGCTTTTACCTAAGCACTCTTTGCTAGCACAGATCAAACGGTGGAAGCTGAGTTGACAGGTTAATCCCATTGTCAGGAGATATCAGTATTTCCAAAGCAGGTTTCATCTGGATTTGGAGTGAAACCCTGAGGCTGCTGCTCCTCCAGGAAGAGAGCAGAGTACCCATCCAGAGAGCTAGGGCAGCCCTGGGCTGAGAAGCTGATGGGAAACATGACAAGGTTTGGCCAATCCTGCACCCTGCCAGAGCTGCTTCTAAAACTCACCTTTTATGGAACATTTTGACCTTGTCAGCTGGCAGTTCCAACAATCAAAAAGCTTAGTCCACTTTTTTTTTATTTCCCAGGCAGCTCTATTCTGACAATATGCAATATGCATTTGTCCAAAAAGATGCCTATAAAACCACTAAACTTGCAATTTTTCCTCTGAAGACTCAAAAGCCTCACAGCCTCATTGAATATTTGGGTTCTTTCATTCTGCTGTTGTTTTGACAATGTAGAGAAAGGCCCAGATGAGAACAGCTGTTCTAAAACTGTTCTTCACACAGATGGGAAGATCTGAATGTTGCAATGTAGTACTCGTCCTGCCCACATCCCTCTGATTCCACATCTGAACTATTCCCGTATAAGCATGAGGCCAATCTCTAGTTAAGAGTTGAATGCCTCCAGAAACCCACAAGAAATAATTGTTTTTACTGAAATGACTTTCCCTAGATAGTGGAAAACACTTCACAATAGCTTGTACATTTGTAATTCTTTACTATCCAAGTCCCAGCAATACAGCAAGGTAATAAATCTCACTAAAGAGTGGTGTGTGGTATAATTGATGGGAATAGGTAGATATGAATCTTGAACATCTGTACATCTGATATGTGCATAGTGAAGGGGACAAAACTAAATATATTGGCACCCTTAATATCTTTCGTCAAGCTTAATTATAAATACAAAATATAATCTCAGTTTTCCATTCTTCTTTTAGAACCTCATAATTCCTGTGGAGTTGATGATGATTTTTGTGGCTGAAAATAAACATTAGGTCACAATTCTGCTTTCTCAGTTCAGTGCAAAACATGAGCAATATCTCTAGGTCATCACTACATCACTCCAGAAATCACTGCATGTGTGACGCTGCAGAAATCTGCTTCTCTGGCACCTGCAGAGGCATAGCTCAGCTTGAAGATCCTCTCACAAACTGTCACATGGTCAGCTGGAAAAATATCACATTCTTTTCTGGTCATCAAAAGATGGAGTTGTTTTTGAAAACAACTGAAGCAGGTAACAAAGCTCTGCTTGCAATCAACAGTCAATTGTTGTTGGCAAATGCAGAAGCACTTAATAATACTAGCACAGATGTAAATCATTACAAAAAATAGGCCTTCCATTGCAGAAAATGCTCTAAAGCTCTCAAGTATTGAAAAATAATGTGCATTTTAGCATATTTTCTTGTTTCAGAGCATATTATTAATTATTTCTTACCAAAATATTATGTAAAAGAGCCATCATTTGTATCTATAAATGATCGGCAAATCACAGCTTCAATAAGATGGAAAACCAATCTTCTGTCATCAGTTTTGCTCTGAATATTACTTTCCAATTTTACAAAAGCAAATCTTTTGCATGCCATGGAAGCGTGTGTTGCAGCCAGTTATGTCAATTTGCATATCGTGGCATGATAAAAACGAAACAATCTCATCTCCCTTGGTGGAAGGAATGACTGGAGGTTGAATTACTTAGTGACGCCAATCCTTCTCTGCTTTTGTTTCTGTCTTTAGGTCCTTTCCTTTTTATTGTTGTTTTCTGCCCAGACAGGCAAAAACTGTCTCTTGCAGTAGTTACAATCTTCTGCTTGTCCTTCTTCATCATCCTCCCCTGAGCTGGAGGTTGAATCTAATACAGAGAGAAAGAAGGACTGTGATTTGTGATAATGTCTCAAAGTCTTAGGCACTCAGGCCCACAGAAATGTCACTGATTTGTGCTTTTTGCTTTCTCCGGGCAATTCAGACAACTTTGTTCAGTCATGCATAGTCCTACCAGCACTGAGCAACTCATGTGTTAGAGCTTTAAAACACTCTACTTCACCACCCAGTCTTCTTGGGAAGAATTGAAAATGTATTCACAGATGTCTCATTATTCAAAAATGTAAAGGTTAAGATCTTTAAGCCTTTGGCTTAAGTATCTCTTACAATGTCACTTCTGTGGCAGATTCCTGGGGGATTCCTGGTTTTTCTTACTGTAGTTGCTTCTTTGCTTTCCTTACTTGAAGCAGTATACTGGACAAAAACATTGTTAGCCTGCAGTTTAGCAGCCAGGCCTCAAAGTAATTAATCATGCTAAGATAAAATAATTACTTCATTTATTTGAAATGAAAGAAAAATAGGTTTGCATACAGCATGCTTTTTTTTGTAAGAGGAAAAGCCTTGTAATCAATCTTGGCGCACAAATTGCTTTGGATATAGTGTTTAGGTGAATATGTTATCAGAGTTACAGTCTTTCAGGAATGCACAAGTCAGGTTTCAATACAAGTATTCTTTGATTTCCCAGTTTACTTTTTTTTTTGCTTTAAAAATATCTACATTTAAAGAGTCCACTTTTCAACATCAAGATATAGAATCATTAAGGTTGGAAAAGACTTCTAAGATCATCTAGACCAGCTATCAGCCCATCCCCACCATGCCCACTACCAACATTCCTTTGGTGCTATATCCACAGTGTTCTTGAACACAGGGATGTAAACACTTCCAGGTTGTAGGAAATGAGGTTTGTAGCAGAAATGCTAAGTCATAGCCTGAACCAGTGATTGAGCACCTGGTGGGAAGGCAGGGCCAACCCAATGGAGCTCAGATGCAGCACACCTGAGTGACCAGAAGGGGTGGAGCTGGGATCCATCCCTTCCTAGACCTCATTTAAGGGTTGACAGTGAAGATAGGGGTATCTTGTAGGAGATCCCTGCATACCTGAGGCTTTTGGGAGGTAAGCTGCTTTTTTTTCTTTTGTTTCTGTAGCTACAGAATGCATCTGCTGTGTTTGGAATTATCTTCACTTACTGAAGCTTGGAACTCTGCTACCCTGCTGTCATTGCTGTGTTTTCCATCATGTTATAGCATTATAAGGTTAGTTTTCAAGTAGTGCCTGTGTGTCTGGTATTTGTGTTGATATTTATCACAGATTTTTAGTGGGGGGGGAGGTATAGAAATGGTTAAGAAATGCATAATTGGTTATTCTGAAGGTGCTTCAGTTTCTGGAGGGGAGAAATACTGTCAGAACTCTGGATCTTGCTATAGAAACCATAGGGGACTTTAGGTAGGGGAGGAAGGGAAGCTGCTGAACATTAACAAGCAGGGCACTCAGTTCCTGCTGTTGGACTCCAACAGTCATGAAATGCTCAGGCCTGCTGCCTGCAGCACTGCCAGCTGGCTTCTGTGGGACAGGTGATTAATGGAGGGGAAATTTCTGTGAGCAAGTGAGTAGCATTATTTACTGATTTATGACTTCTTTGGAAGAAAGAAAGAAGTGGAAAGAACAGAAGTTAAGACTCAATGAGAGAGAATGTTGTGTCTGCTGTTGTATGAGGCTCTAGCACTTTTGAGGACAAAATGGATTATTTGTGTGTAGTATGGTGGAGATCTTAGGAAAAGACAGGAAACAAAAGGCATCCCAGTATGAAGCTACTACTCACTTCAGAATCACAGGAAAGGTTTCTCACCTGGTGTATGTCATAACACTGTATCTAATTAGATGTGTTAAAAAAGTAAAACTTGAAAAAATCACGACTGTTTTATTCTCTGATAGG